GGCTCCTGGTGAGTAGCGTCTCGTGTTTCCCTGAAGTGGAAAACTTACTGCTCTGAGTTTCAGTGTCGTCTCTCGCGCTGTCTTGACCACCAGCTCTTGAGTTCCTTGAAATCAGTGACCTGCGTTTTGCTCCTTATCCTTGGTAACTGGTGCAGTGCTGGGCTTATGGAAAATGCTCACTACATAGTTACGAATCACAACGATGCCTCGTTTATGCCTAAACAAGGTGTTCCAATGTTCCGTGCTGCCTGTATTTCCACCAAATCCTACAGGACGTCGAGAGGATCAATAAAGTCGGCAAAAAGAGGCAACTTCCGCTAGGAGGTGAAAAATGTTCTCTTGTTACTGTGCTTGTTTGCAAAAAGGACGTGTTGTAAGTGGAACGTACGAGAAGATAAAACGGCCCTGGGTGGCCTGGTGAATGCTTGGAGGAGCGTGGAGGTCTTAAAACATTGAAGGGAGCGAGCCGGGAGCCACCCCCAGGTCCCTCCAGGATTTCCTCCCTGATTTCTTGGGTATTCACTGAATGCTTCTTTGATACTTTAATATCTCCCCAACAGCTACCGTAGCTTTCAAACAGTCTGTCCCATCCAGGTGGCCAGGAGAGTCACAACCCCAGACACTTGAGTGCTACCGGGTAGAGGCCTCCCTCATAGCCTCTTTCTCCCCTTGTTTATGGTCCATTAGATTTTTTTCTCAAACTTGGCCCTTGACTTTGCTTCCTAGTTTCCGCTCCTCTTGGTCTCCGAGATTTCCTGTACGTGAGCCTCACGGTTCTCTATCACAACAGGGAGGGCCCGACAGATCTGAGTTTGAATGCTGGCCTTGCCATTTACTGGTTGTTTGACCTCTGTCAAGGGATTTAACTCTTGGGGTCTCCGTTTTATGATCCGTAAAATAGTTTCGTGGCGATGAGAAAACCCAACGAGCTCTCAGCGTGTACTAGGCATTCAGTGAAAGGAAGCATTACTGTTTTTCTTGGCCAAGGAATTGGGGTCGTACTCACTTTCGGATATTTTTCCACTTTGGCTACCTTGAGTAGAAACTCCCATCATAGCCCCCTACCCTGGCTTCAAATCCAGACTTCCCTTCCTCCCTCCTGGCTCCCCATCCGGTCTGCTTTTGTATCAGGCAGATCGTACCTTTGGCTTCTAGTGGTTTCATCCATGTGAGTTTGGCTTTGAAGCCAACAACGACTGGGTTAAGAGATCTTCTTAAAGGAAGGCATAATAGTCATCTTCTTAAAGGAAGGCATAATACTCTCTTCTTCTTCAAAAAATTCATTAAAAGAATTTTTTTTTAACATTTATTCATTTTTGAGAGACAGAGAGACAAAGGGGCAGAGAGAGAGGCAGACACAAAATTTGAAGCAGGCTCCAGGCTCCGAGCTGTCGGCACAGAGCCCGATGCGGGGCTTGAACCCACTAACTGTGAGATCACGACCCGAGCCAAAGTCGGACGCTTAACCGACTGAGCCCCCCCAGGCGCCCCTCTTCCAATAATTTCTATTAACAATCTGATTTCAGTTTCCTGACTTCTTTGAACTCAGAATGAAGTTCTGGACCCAGCTTCCTGCAAGGATTGAGCTCAGTCAGCTGGAACCAGGGGACCCTTTTACCTTCACCAACGCCACATTGCTGCCTTGTCCTGTTTCTTGGTGGAGATTTATATGTTTTTCATGCTGTCTCACTCAGTTTCCTCTGTCACCCGGTGGATTGTTCTTTTACGGATGAAGAGCCTGACGTCCAAGGCAACTAAATGAGTTGTCCAAGGTCGCTCAGGAAGGAGGAGGGCTGGAGTCGAACCCTGTCTTTATGCCTCCACAACTTGTACTCTGTCTACCGTGGGCCTTCTCTGCATCCCAGTTTCATTATTTACACCACGAAAACAGAAACACTCTGTCGCATCAGATAGCTGTGAAGAGCTAAGCAGGAGGCATCCGTGTGGCTCTGGACAAAGTTGGTCAGAGCCGTTCAGAGCAGTTCTGACTATCTTGGGTAATCAGCGTCTAGACCGATCTTGTCACCAGGCAGGGCCGGAGGGATGGAGACCAGGTGGGGAGTGACTGCGCGGGGCCATAGAACTAGGGGTGACACACAGGTCAAGTGAGGAAAGCCAGTTGAAGACGGGCCACGGTCTCAGATGCCCCGATGTGCACTACTCAGGGGTGACTGGAGGTAATAAACGAAGCCTTCTCTGTATTGACTGCCAACTGGGTTGTCTATAGTGACGCTAAAATGAACTATTTAGTAAATCTAACCCAAATCCTGCTCACCAATTACCGGCCCCATTAACTTAGCACAAGTTTTCAACCTGTTTTGTACAGCTGATAAAAAAGGGCCTCTGGTGACGGTAGGTGAGGTCTCCAGCAAAGTCTCAGAGTGGGGCTTCATGGAGATTCTTCCTGCAGTAACATCCCGAGTCAATCATGGACTTTTCGAGCTACTGAAGGAGCCCATCAGAAGCCATCTGAATGCGGGTGCGCCCCCTGGGGCAATGTCCAGGCTTCCAGGGTGGCGGGCAATCTAACTGCGCTCCTTCCAGAAGGGAGGCTAGACCAAGCTTATCTTTCTTGGCGGCACAGGCCAGGGTGAGGTGCCACCGCAGAAACACTCTGAACGTGGCAACCCAGCGTCCCCGCCAAGCTCCGCCGTACCCCAGCCGCCCTCGCTTGCCCTTGAACTAACTAATGCAGCCACCTGGAGAAAGGCGTGTCCCCAGTGAAAAATCTATTGGCCTTTGGGCTCCTCTCCTAAATCTCTTTGTGGCCTGGCTGACTCCTGGGTTCTCGCAAAGGGGTCGAAACGTGTGCAGCCCAAGCCCCTGCTTTCTCGAGACGCGCGTGGCGAAGCGTGGGGGTGGTCTGTGCCATGGCGAGCGTGTCCCCGCGCCACTGGCTGGGCGGCCGCGCTCCTTCTGTCGAGGTTGGTGGCAACGGCGTTCTGGGTGGGAGTCCGGCGCAAAGAACCCACACCCTCCCTGGAGCCTCCTTCCTTCCTCCGCCACTCCGTGGGGCCGCCCCCCAGCCTCCGCGACTTGTTTCGCGTGTTGGGACCACGTGCACGTGACGCGTTGCGAGCGGAGAGTCCCCTGCGGACGACACAGTTCTGCTTTCTCCCGCTGAGCGTACGAAATACGCGGGCAGTTTCCCGGGCCTGCGGCGAAACCGAGAAGGGGAGGGGCGCCTGGGCGGTTCCGTCGGTAATGCGGCTCAGGTCGTGAGCTCACCGTGGTGCGCGGGTTCGAGCCCCGCCTCGGGCTCTGTGCTGACAGCTCGGAGCCTGGAGCCTGCTTCCGGTTCTGTGTCTCCCTCTCCTTCTCACTCTCTGCCCTTCCCCAGCTCGCACTTTGTCTGTCTCTCAAAAATAAATAAATGTTAAAAAAAACCAAAAAACAAAACAGAGAAGGGGAAATGCAGAGGCTTCTGGGCCTGGGAGGAGTCCATGAGAATGTCCCAGCCCTGCGTGGGTGCGCAGCCTGGAGCGCGCAGAGCGAGCATCTGGGGCGTCCATACCGCCCAGGAATCCGCAGGGCAGCCTGTGCCCTCTGCCTGGTGCCGGCGTAACCCGGCCTCTCCCCGAACTCACCGTGGCCGTGCAGGGGAACACGCTCCTTGCCGGAACGTGAGCCGGGCTATGGTGCCCTGATGTTTCCCCTCCTGTTTCTGGCTTCAAGGGAAGGGCTGGGGGGGAATCGCAGAATGCTGAAGGGACAGGCAAGGCCCCCCTCCCACCTGTGTGTCCTTCCCTGCCCGCAGATGGTGGCAAGATCCTGCATGCCGCGACTCCTCCAGGGTGGACGCCAGGCTTCTTCATCTGAGCATCCTAGTGCCCAGCCCAGGGCAGGCCCTTTGGAAGGCCAGTCTGCCCACCCGGGCCCTGGCAGTGGGTCCCCCTGGGCTCCCAGTGGAATGAGCCAGAACCTGCTCACCGGGGTCAGCAGGCCCGGGCTCAGTCACCCGGAGCTACCTCTAGGGTTAAGACCTGTGCTGCCCGCTGGTCCTCTCAAACTAGGTCTCTTCCTGTGCACCGATGAGAAAAATCAGGGCTGCAGCCTTCCGGGATGTACTAAAGAGGAAACGAGATGGTGTCTGTCACTGCCCTGTAGGGTGCCTGGGACAGAAACAGGCACCCAGCAAAGGTAAGTGGGCTCCCTCCCTTCTGTCTCCCTCCTTTTGTTTCTAGGTTTTCCAAACTCGCGAACTGTTCTGTCTCCGGGAGGAGTGAACACAGCACTGGGCTTCGAGAATGAGCGCCGGGATTTTCCTGCAGGATTTGCCTCCTTCCAGCCTCCTCATGTGGAGCGAAGCCCTCCCGAGAGGCAGCCCAGAGGACTCCTCCAGGACGTGGGGCCTGGCCTCACACTGCGGAGTTGAAGTCTCGCTCTCCAGTGCTTCGCTGGGCAGTGGCGCTGCCCCTCTCTCTGTTTCTTCGTCTGTGATACGAGAAGGACCACGGTTCCCGTTTCCTTGGGTTGTCGCGGGGATCAGAGGAGACAGAAGGACCTGTGAAACGCTTGGTGAGACTCCGTAAGGTTGGGCTATTTCTTCCTCATCTGCAAACTAACGTGGGGATCATACTCCCGACCGTGGCCATGCCGAGAAGACCAGCAGACGCAGTGAAGAGTGTGAACGTGCCTTTGGAGTCTGCAGAATATGCTATACATACAGGAGTCGTTGTTACGCTGCCCTCGGAGCCTTTCCGGTGGCCTCTCGTGGACCATGAGCTCTTCCAGCGGAAATGACAGCTCCGACTTTGTGTCCCCACGAACTTCTCTCTTAGCGTCTGTAACTCCGATTGGCCTTTCTGTTTGCACGCCTGACCCCTCACTCGATTGTACTCTCCTTGTGCTAACGGAACGCATCCGGTTCGTTCCCGTACCCCCAGCGCCCAGCCAAGGGTGCGCAATAAATGTCCACAGAATGAGGGGCGCCTGGGTGGCTCCGTTGGTGAAGTGTCCGACTTCGGCTCAGGTCACGATCTCGCGGTCGGTGAGTTCGAGCCCCGCATCAGGCTCTCTGCTGTCAGCACAGAGCCTGCTTCGGATCCTCTGTCTCCCTCTCTCTCTGCCCCTCCCCTCCCCAAAAGTAAATGAACGTTAACAAAAATATATCCGCAGAATGAATCTAGGACTTCAAAGGGACAGAGCTTGACCAGAAAGCCCTTGCCCCTAGCTCTGCACCTTTATAACTTACTGATATTTCCCTCTCTTTGGGGAAGAAGGGAAATCTGATTAGATCGTGAACATGTTAGTCTGGATATGGGTACAAACAGCTGTACAAGACCCAGGATTGGCCTGGCTGGGCCATGAGCAGAGACCCTGCTATGACGTGGTGAGTTTTCCTCTCCTGTTTCCTGCTTTGAGGTGGGGGGCGGGGGGGGGGGCTCTGATTTGTTTGGTTTGCACTGGAAATAATAGATGTGGTTGGGGGCTGTGGGTTCTGGGTTGGTTGGTTTGCATTTGAAAGTCAGGCTCACTGGAGAGTTGTGGGACTGTCTCTAGAATCTGCCAACCCTAGGAGGGGAGGGAAAGTTCCTCCAGGATTGGCAAGACCCCAAGAGGTCACAGCATCAGAATACAGAAGTTGCTAGAAGCCTGGGGTAGAAGAAATCTTATTTGGGAATGCTTGACGAGTGACATATAGAAACCAAGCGTCTGCAGTCACACGCCATTTCCTGTCTGGCTTTTGGGGCCTGGTGTGGCCAGATCAGGGCAGGCACCCTTGCCTCAAAGGGCTCCCCAGCTACTCCACAACAGAAGCAAATAAACGCACCCGGCAGTTGGTTGGGCGGGGGGCAGGGGCGAATGGGTGAATTAGAGGTTGTGGGCCGTCTCTGAGGCTCTGAGACCCTTCTTCTCCGTTGTTCGGTTGGTCTCCTGGCCTCACTGTGTGTGGCTCTTTGACCCCAAGCTCAGTGTTGAATGGAATGAGAGCTGGCTAGTTTGCCGTCAGAGACGAGGTCCGCTCACCAGGGCCCCTTTGTAATCAGCGCTGAAATCTGACCTGCACGGGAGACCCTGTCCTGAGCACGCTTCTCTTCCACGCTCGTGTGTCAAGGTCCATGGCCTCCACTGAGCTTAAACACACACGTGTGTCTCAGCTCCCCGCCCCGTCAGCTGGAGGCCAAGGGAGCCCATCTAGCGACTGGACACTGCGGAGAGCCACAGGCACAGTGGGACCGTCTCCTGGGGGGGGCCTCGGTCCGTTCGCCGGGGTCAGTACCACCCTCTTCAAACCCAACTGCTTACTGATCTGCCTTCCAGCTTCTTTGGGCCACCTCGAAGCCACTGAGGCCAAAATGACAAGCATAAAGATCGTAGTTACAAAGGGCTAGGTTAATAACAACTCTACTGACTTAATGGTACTTGAATAGCCCTTTACTATCTACAGGCCATATTTATCGCCGGTATATCCCCTACACCTCACCACAAAAACCCACGAAGTGCATATTTATTTTTATTTCCCCCTCTGTGAAGTGGACTTTATCAGGATGTTTTGTGGCTTGTCCACGATCACAGAGCCAGCGACGGAAGGTGACGTTTTCCGGCCGTCAAGTTCAGTGGTTTGGACACTGCTCCGCTAAGTTACTGTAAATGAATGGCCTACAGGACTTTCCAGAGCAGCTCTGTTTGAGGGTTGTTTATTGGTGGAAAAACAAAACAGCGTTTCAGGACCAGATCTTTTGGGGAAACACTCTTCGCACATAATGAAATGATTTTCTTTACAGGGGGATCTTTAGAGCCTTTCCCTTGTCCGTCCTCAAGCCGTCCATGCGACCCTGTGGGATCTAAGCTGGCAGGAGGGCCTCCGAGGTGGCGTGGAAGCTGAGAAGAATTGCACAGAAGAGGCCACGGAGCAGAATTGAGCCCCGAAGGGAAAAATACCAGCGTCGTTAACACACGAAGGTCAAATCCAGGCTGCTCAGTGTGCATCCAGAGCTCCTGAGTCGCCGGGCCAAGGCGGACCTCCCCCCTGCTTGGCCCCGGCTGCCGACGGTGCCCAAGATGCCGGGAGCCGGCTGTTCTGTCTTACTAAATTAGGCATCTATTTCGTTTGGCCGTCCGCGTTTTGAGAAGCTGTGGGCACAATCCCTGTGGTCCTCTGCTAGACGAGGGAGGCCCGGGGAAGTTGGTGGTGGCCAAGGGTAACAAAAAGAAAGAGGGAGTGACTTTGTGGAAGCATGGCTCTCAAAGCGCTTCTGTTTTTGTTAGGGTCTCGGGGAAGGTCGCGAGGGAAAGACAAGATTAAAAGGGAAAGACGGCCTATCTTCTCTGATGGATTCTTGAATAATTTCCAGCAAACTTCGTTCTCCTCACTGTTGGTGTTTGGGGGAGGTGGTGCGGGGCCCATGACGGAGACCCGACCTCTTGGTGAATGTCCAAAATGAGAGTGGGTCCAGTTCGCTGGTCACCACAGTGGAGGCAGGTTGTCCCTTGGCAGCTACAGGGACGCCTCCTCAGCTGGGCCGGGCCTTCCTCTGAGTGGCCAAGTTCTACCTCGTCTGCTCATCCGTCAGCCTCCTGGGGTTCAACCTGCCCCTCCCTTTTAGTAGCTAATCACCTTTCGCTCTATCGGCAATTTTTTTTTAATTAAAAAAATGCTTTTATTTATTTTTGAGAGAGAGTGTGAGCAGGGGAGGGGCAGAGAGAGAGGGAGCCACAGAATCCGAAGCAGGCTCCGGGCTCCCAGCCGTCGGCACAGAGCCCGACGCGGGGCTCGAACTCGCGAACCGCAAGATCATGACCTGAGCCGAAGTCAGAGGCTCGACTGACCGAGCCCCCGAGGCGCCCCGTCAGCAATTCTTTATATTAACATTTCCTGGCTCCGTTTTCTGCTGTGGTGTCTCACCTCTGCATGAATCCTGACTGACACGGGTCATCGCCATCTTTGAGCTTTTTATCTTTTCCTGGTGGACCCACCCTTGGCATCATAGTGAACTTGCTCTCCTCTCTGAGAGTGCTTGTTTGCTTTAAAGCCGAAAAGTTACTTGGTTTTACAGTCGTGTGGCGGGTCCATCTTTTTTTGGGTTAGTATTTGCTTGAATTTGTTTTCTTTTGGCTTACCCTCCACTTTCTGCATCTTTGTTTTTAAGGTGTGTTTGTTGGTAACTAACATACAGTTGGAATTTGTTCATTCTGGTCCTTGGGATGTTGGCCTTTCTGGGGTTCTGTCGGGAAGGTGGGTGTTCCGAGGGCCTTTGTCTTTGAGAGCCTTGAAATCTCCGAGCTTTCGGGTCAATCACCAAAAGGTGCCAAATGCGAGAACCATCTCTCTTGGCTTCCTTTCTCTTCAGGCTTTTAGCTCCTGAAATCCTTGCTTCCTTAGTGGGCTTCCAATATGTTTAGATAGAAAAATTTTCGTCTCGCTTTTGTAATTGTCTTGGAAGGAGGATTGTTATGGAACAAGTTAATCTGCCATAGCTGCGAGGGGGAATCTGGAGATATTCAGGCAGGAAAGTAGATTGGTTTCTTTGAGAAACTGGCTGGACCTAGGGGCACCTGGGTGGCTCAGTGGGTTGAGCATCTGACTTTGGCTCCGGTCATGATCTTGTAGTTTATGAGTTCTACCTGTGCATCGGGCTCTGTGCTGACAGCTCAGAGCCTGGAGTCTGCTTCAGATTCTGTGTCTCCCTCTCTCTCTGTCCTTACCCTGTTCTCTCTCTCTCTCTCAAAAATAAATAAACATTTAAAAAAATTGAAAAAAAAAAAAAAAAGAAACCGGCAGAGCCTAAAGAAGCACCCCAAACAAGACAAAGGGAGGTGAATCATATGTCACCCAGAGCACTCCCAACCCATGCTGGGAGCACCTCACTCAGGAGGTGAAGAAATGCCATGCCTATTTTTTTTTAAGTTTATTTATGTTTTTTGAGAGAGAGCCAGAGCACAAGCTGGGGAGGAGCAAAGAGAGAGAGAGAGAGAGAGGGAAAATCCCAAGCAGGCTCCACACCGTCAGCGAAGAGCCGGACATGGGGCTCAATCCCATGAACCGTGAGATCACGACCTGAGCTGAAACCAAGAGTCAGATGCCCAACAAACTGAGCCACCCAGGCGCCCCTGTAAAGCCTGTTAAGAACTGATAAAAGATGGGAGCCTTAGGTCCACGGGTGGTGAATGCTTGATTGAAATGAGGGAAACGGGAAGGTGGGGGTGGTCCATGGAAGCACCCCAGCCACTGCTGTGTCAAGAGACACTGATGGAAGGCAGCCATGGCCAGAAGCCTCTGATCCTGGAATAAATATCTGGAATCTCTGCGAAGGGACACCCAGATTGAATTGACTCAATAATTAAAAGAACTTTTATACAGATAGTTGTAGCTTGGTGGTTGTATTTCTTTCCGTGCTGCTCTGTATCCTATTTTTATTTAAGTTTTGGATAATTGTCAGTTATTCTGCTACAGGGCCTGGCACGTAGAAAACCTTAGGGGCGTTAGCGGGGGGAGCCCTGAGCATGATTGCACTTGCTCCAAATTCAGTGGTTTAAGCAGGAGCAAACTGGGATCCGGTGGGGCTCTTACCTTTGGTGAACATTGTCTTTCCCGTGGAAAGTGCTGGAAATGTAGACATGGTATTTTAGGATAGGGTAGAGAGCTGTCTGGGACTGGCCTTGCTATCGATGGCAAACCGGGTGAGGATGAACTGGAGTGAGTGATGGGGAGAGATGAGCTCCCGGGTCAGGTGACCCGGGTAGAATCTCACTTAGCCACTCACCACCTGCGACACTTGGAAGGTTATTTAATCTCCCCGTGCCTCAGTGTCCTCACCCTCCTGCCACCCTTACGGGTCCACGGTGAGGAATAGATGAGATAATATGTTGAAAGTGCCTCCTCAGTGAATATTCTTTTTTTTTTTTTTAAGTTTTATTTATTTAAGCAATTTCCACACCCAACGTGGGGCTCGAACTCACGACCCCAAGATCAAGAGTTGCAGGTTTTACGATCTGTGCCAGCCAGACGCCCCTGTGTTTTGTTAACAAATGTGAGTTCCCCATCTTTGCCCCTTTCTCACGGAGAACGTAAATCCCGCAAAGCCAGGTGGAGTTCAAGAGTGCGCTGTTTGCCCCTGACGAACACAGGACTGACAGATTTACGTCTAAAAGGCCCCTTAAAGGAGTCAGTTCCAGAGTCAAGTACGGGACAGTCACCCAGCCCAATAATAAGTGAAGGACAGAGGATGATACTAAAGGCCATTCTGTTTCTACAGTCTGGGAACAGGGCTGGCCCTGGGAGCAAAGGGGAGGGGCCCCATTTCGGGGTTCTCCCTAAACCATCCGAAAACAGCTTCTGAGCTATGGCCCGGAGTGGGAGCAGTGATGTGGGAGAAACGTACTGCCTCTCCTGACTTTTCGTTTCATTTGGTTATATAATCATCCTAATAACTACCACGTCCCGAGTTCTCTCTCTGTGTCAGGCGATGTTTTACATACATTAACTAACTTTCCCTCCGTCACACAGCCTTCTAGTGTCAGAATTAAGATTCACAGCCCGGCAGTCTGGCTCCAGCCCCTGCCCTCGTGCTCTGTTGTCTTTTTCTAGGCAAATTTGCTTTGTCTTCGATGGTGGTTCACCTCCAACTTGGTGAACTTGCCCCACACTGAACCCCCCCTTCCCCTGCCTCCCGGACCTGCTGCCGTGACGATTTCAGGCTCTGCTATTTCTTTTTTTTTTTAATTTTTTTTCAACGTTTTTTATTTATTTTTGGGACAGAGAGAGACAGAGCATGAACGGGGGAGGGGCAGAGAGAGAGGGAGACACAGAATCGGAAACAGGCTCCAGGCTCCGAGCCATCAGCCCAGAGCCCGACGCGGGGCTCGAACTCACGGACCGCGAGATCGTGACCTGGCTGAAGTCGGACGCTTAACCGACTGCGCCACCCAGGCGCCCCAGGCTCTGCTACTTCTACCCACGTGGAAAGCGGGGGTTGTCCTTGGCCTCTGCTGGTCACTGCACGCCTCACGTGAGACACACACCAGTTTGTATCGATCGGATCCCTCAGGTCTGCCTAAAATTTTGTGTCCTCATCCAATGCTAACTGCCTGCTCCTTCCTCCGTCCCTTCCTGCCTGGACTGTCGCAGGAATTAGCAGCCCGCCCGTGGGCCCTCTGGCTCCAGTTCCCCTGGCCTCCACCTGCTCGCCTTGCCTGGTCCCTTCATGCCAATCTCCTGTTTAAAAAGCCCTCTCCAACCTTGCTAGAACCTGAGGAGCAGTGGCTCTAGAGTTAGCCAGGTTGTGAGTCCCAGCTTCACCACTTTTTAAAAATGTTTTATGTATTATTTTTGAGAGAGAGACAGAACACAAGCGGGGGGGAAGGGCAGAGAGAGAGGGAGACACAGAATCCGAAGCAGGTTCCAGGCTCTGAGCTGTCAGCACAGAGCCCGACGTAGGGCTCGAACCCGTGAACCCTGAGATCATGACCTGAGCCAACGCTTAACCGACCGAGCCACCCAGGCGCCCCGAACTGTATGATATTTTCAGCCCAATTTCTTGCATATCCCCCATAAAATTTCCCTGTTTTAGCCACCCTAAACCTCATCATTCCAAGATTCATTAGCATTTAGACTCAGGGTCCACTTTTTTTTTTTTTTTAAAGATAGTCCTTTCCCCATATTCCATTCAATATGGTTAAGCCATATTGAAAGAAGCAAGAGTGAGAAAAAAGGATCCAGGAGTCGTGAATTCTAGGGTGACTAAAAGTCCTCCGGCTGCTCTAGCATAAGATTGGGGGCCGAGGAGGCACACAGCTTCTTTTCAGTCCTGTGTCTCTCCTCCTCGCACACGCCTGGAGCTGAGTGGGGAGCGTTGCGGCTACGGACTGAGAAATGGGTTCAGCTGGAAGCAGATAACATTTAATAGGGGCAGAGAAGCTCTCTGACAGTTCTGGAAAATAAGGGTAGCCAGTGTTTATTGCTTATTATGTATGTATGTGGCAGGGCTGTGCTGACACTTGAGACACATTATCTCTCTCCTTCAACCTTCAAGACATATCTGTGAAATGCTGCTGTCACTCTCTCCATTTTACAGATCGGGAGACTGAGATGTAGGGAGCGAAGTGACTTGTCAAGATTTGAACCCAAGCTGTCTGATGCAGGAATCTATTATTTATTATCCTTGAAATATTCTCCAAAACTCTCTTCTGGACAAAGGGGGCCGATTAGATGAGTGGATTTCAAGTTTTTACCTTGATACACAGTAAAAAAATACATTTTATGTTGTGACCATGGTACACACACACACACACACCCTTCCCACACAGACACACACACACACACACACACACACACACCCTCCCCACACAGACACACATGCACACACACACACACAGCCTCCCCGCACAAACTCACACATATGGACACACACACCCTCCCTACACAAACTCACACACATGCACACACACGCTCTCCTCACACAGACTCACACATGTACACACACACACACCCTCCCCACACAGACACACATGCACACACACACACACACAGCCTCCCCGCACAAACTCACACATATGGACACACACACCTCCCCACACAGACTCACACACACACACACACACACACACCCTCCCCACACAGACTCACACACATGCACACACACACCCTCCTTACACAAACTCATACATATGCACA